TGACAGCCCTCTGCAGGGTCCCTTGCACACACCCAGGAATGTCCTGTCCCACCTCTGCCAGCCATGAACTCCTCCAGGTACTGGGCCCATGTCCCGGGGTTCGGGTGGAACTTGTTCATTAAATCAAAGTAGTAGTAGGAGACAGCCACGTCCTTGGCATTGCGCCCCACATAGATCATCTGCAAAAAACTTGGTGGCATGTGGGGACTTGCAAGGTCCCAACGGGACAGGCAGCCCCCTATGTCTGCTGGAACTGTCCAAGCATGTTCATTCCAGCCTGATACCTTGCAGCGGTTTTCCCAGAAGGATTTAGGCAAGATGTGAGCTGGGATGTGTGTCTTGATGATGCGAGGGGATGGCATGGCTTCCAGCTGCTCTGTGCCTATAAGGATTTCCCGCAGAAGTGATCCCACTGTGGTGCCCTCCCAATACAAAACCAAACCTGTCCCCATCTCCCATCCACGGCCCCCCACCACCCTCTGCCACCCCACTACCTGCTGCCATCTTCCCAGGGGCAGCAAATTCCATCATGGGCACCCGGTTCACAATGTCATCCTGCTTGCATTTTTCTGGGTTGCCGCCTTTCAGGACCATGTCCACAATCTCACTGACCCAAGTGGTGCCTGGCAGGGAGAGATTGGGTGTCCCGTTGATGCCATTCCCACTTGAGCCTCATCTCAGGCACCAGAGAGTCACCATCTACCAGTGTTGCCTTTTGGCATGCCCCTGGTTCTAGCCCAGGCATCTGCAGGTTGGTACCTCCCTTTCTGAGCATGGCCCCTCTCTGGTGCCTGGGCACACTCACCAGACTTGGGGAAGCTGACCACCATGATGTCCTCGGGGCAGGCCTGGAAATTGTCAACCCGTTCCCAGTTGTGGGCGAAGGCGCTGACCATGGGGATGCCATGCACGGTGCGCCAGGGCTGCCGCAGGTAGGTGTCCAAATTTGCCATCCTGCTGGGGACAGGGATATGTGTCAGGGCTGGCTGGCAGCAAGTAGAAGCACAGGGCCTCCTCCTTCCCGGGGGCCCCAAAATCCCTGCTGAACCCATCCATCCTGGCCATATGAAGGAAACCATGCCCTGCTTGCTGGCATAGCAGGAGGTGGCACCTGTTTTCTGTGGGGATTTCGGGGCCCAGGTGGCAGTGCAGGAAGAGTGGAAGGGCATGGTCAGCTCTGGGCGGCTCAGGTCAGACAGGCAGTGGGCAGCTACCCATATTAAGCTGGCAGCGCTGTTCCTGGGAGTAAAAACTCTCAGGGGGCATTCCTGCCTGCAGTCGCAGGCTGCTTTCTCTTTGTTTTTTCCTCCCCATCTCTCCGTTGTACAGCAGCATGGGAAGTCTTGGTTTCAGGGCGCTTGAGTGAGGGTTTGACAGAGACAGGAACGAGGAGCAGGACTCACAGGACCCTCTACCTAGGAAGCCTTTCCACCCACCACGCAAGACAGAAATGCTGGACACGCCAGCTGCAAAACCTCCATGCTGTGATTTTTGGAGAGAGGCTTGGTGTCTTGCTTCCACCTCCCGGGGACTTACGGGGACACGGAGCCCCCGTAGCCACTCCTGCAGGTCCCCCGCTTATGAGGCCAGGGCACCCCTAAACGACCGTGGCCAAAGCCCCCCACTTACTTGCCTCTTTTCCGGGTGCTCAGGCAGGGAGGAGGCAAAACTATGCCTGCCGCTTACGGGGCGGGATTTGTTCATTTCCTTCCCCTGCATGGAAGATGGAGGCGCAGGGAGGCGGGGGACACCGCTAGGACTGGAGCCTGGAGCGACCTTGTCCCAGTGCCGCGGTGGGAGGAGTGCAGGGAAGGGGCGAGCGGGGATGAGGACGGTCCCCGGATGCCTGTGGTGAGCTGTCCGTGCTCAGCACCCGTCGGGACGCACACGAACAGCGGGAGTGGAAATCACAGCTTCCCCTCCACCCGCAGAGGTAAACACAGGATGGAAATCCCAACCCATCGCGAGAGACTGAACATCACCCTGTCCTGGGCCGAGTCACCTGTCTGGACGTCCCCAACTCCTCACACCGATGTGGGGGCTTGTAAGCGGGATGTGGGTTCAGTCTTTGGTCGTACCCCTACTCCACTCAAATACGGGTCCAAAGTTTGCGGGCTAACAGAGCACAGGTGCTCCTGGGAAAAGTATTTAAAGGTGCCGATAATGCCTAAATGTTCTTCCTTACCTTAGGAGGGAGGGAGTGGGAAGGGCAGGAGAGATGGCAGCTGGGCAGGGCCAGCAGCTCAGCTGCTGGCAGCCCCGATTTGTCTCTAGGGGCAAGTTCCTAGTGAGATGAGTCATGCCATGGCAGGCGTTAGGTGTTTTGCTGTCCATATGCTGGCAAAATTGACTGCACATGCAAACAGAGCAGGTAAAGCCAGGAGCTGGGGAAGCACATCTTCCAGTGGAAGACATCTCCAGTAGCATTTAAATGAATGTGTGAAAAGGATTTATTTTTGTGAGGTAGGTCCCCCTCATAGCACTGCTGCTCTTTAGCAGTTGGATCTGGGCTACATCTCTTTGGGATGGAACAACCCCATGAAGTTGTCTTAACAAGAAGCTGCAGTCTTGGAAACTCAAGAACCGACTAGAAATGGAGTGTTAATTGGGAAATTTGGGATTCAAAGCACACCCTTGCCCCCAGTGGGACACGGACTAGTTTGCTCCAGGCATCCCAGAGGAAGGGCAAGGTGCAGCCAGGACTGAGGTCGCAGGGTGTGTTCTCTATCCAGCAAGGACAGTGATGTTGCTGAGCCTAGCAACATGCCAGTAGGGAGCGGTTTCCCTTCACCTTTGTGCCACAGACCAAGGGCTGCCAAGCTCCAGCTGGGCCAAGGAGATCCTCTTCACCACCCACTCTGCCAAGAAACTTGCCACAATCCAGAGGAATGAAAGCTCCTGTGCATGCAAGAGGTGGAGTAGCACTGGATTCGCTGATGCTCTGGGAATTTTCCACTCCTCACCGATATTTGTTCCCTCCAGACACCTTGGTAGGCTGGGACAGCCCAAATTGACAGGGCCAGTGGTGATTTCTGGGAGAGTGCCCACTCCTGGTGATGCCTGACCATCACTAGCTAAAAATCCCCTGTGTGCCCACCCTCTCTCCTGATGACCATGAAAGTGTTCCCGGACACTGCCTAGAATTCAGGGGGTTCAGGCCCCACCCTCATTTTCCCTGCAGGCAATGATTAAACCTCAATTTATCATGATTTATTGCAGGGGGAAAAGTGAATTAGTCGAAGAATCTCCATCTGGATCCACCCTCCCCACTGGGAGAACATCACAGTCCTCCTGGGAAGGGAGATGAGCCTCTCACACTTCCATCTGGAAGTGGAGGTCAGAACCTGCCATGTGCTCCTGGTAGTGCTGGTTGAAGTGCTCATTCTGGGCCACAGTGAAGTGGTTCTTCCAGTCTCCAGAGATCCCTGGGGGCAAGAAAATAACTGGGGTAAATCCTCACACACATGAAATATTTGTAGTCACAGACAGGGGCTGAAATACAATCCAGAGATATCCCTCCCTAATCCTCCACCACCAGCCAAACCCCACCTTTCCGGAGGAAGGGGGACAGGCTGTGATCCATCAAGGTGGGGAGCATGGTCTCATAGTTGGCAGCAGGGTTCTTCTTCATCTCCTGGAAGGAGGTGTGGTGCAGGATCCTCTCAACTGTTTCCTCTGCCAACTCCTTGCCCAGGAACTGCAAGATCTTCTGCACTTCCCGCCGTGGGTCCTGCAGGGTGATTGACATGAGAAGGCTGCCAAAAAAGCTCGCGGGAGGACGACCAGGGCTCCTTCCCCTCCATCCCAGCCTCACCTTCTTCATGTCCTCATAGAAGAGGTAGAGTATCTTCTTCTCCTGTTTCTCTTCCCACCATCCGCGCACATGGTCGTACCAGGACCCGTAGGCCACTGTGGGACATGGTCAAGGGATTAGATGAAAAGGGAGGTAGCGGGGGATGTCTTTCCCACTGGCTTTGCAGGATGGGCATCCCACACCTTTGCCAGCCATGAAGTTCTCCAAGAACTCGGCCTTTGTGCCAGGGTCAGGGTGTATCTTGGCCATCTGGTGGAAGAAGTAGTAGGAGATGACAACATCCTTGGGGTTGCGGGCCATGTAGATAATCTGGGGAGAGCCAAGAATGTGTTTGGGAGGTACAGAGTGGTACCTCCTCCCCACCAACCCAGATGGGGAGAGAGACAGGGGCCACCTGCCATGTTACCTTGCAGTCCTTCTCCCAGAAGGAGGTCGGAAGGAGCTGTACTGGGAGATGAGTCTTTACCAGCCGCGGGGATGGGGTTTTCTCCAGCTGCTCAACGCCTGTGGCATAGAGGACTTTAGAGGTGTGAGCCCCAGCACCCAAACGCCCATGCTGGCTCTGTTCCCTCTACACCCAAGCCAGGCGGCTGGGCTGGTGAAGCTCACCACTCGGACCCTTGGAGACCTTCATTTCCAAGAAGGGCACACGGTTGTAGATAGCATCCCGTCGGCATTTCTCCACATTGCCATTATGGTATATCATGTCCATGATCTCACTCAGCCATGTTGTGCCTGCAGCACAGGGACAGCATTGCAAAGGCTGGTGTCACCCCATCCCCCCTGCATCCTTCCTCAGGACCACTCACCTGATTTGGGGTAGGTGGAGATGAGCAGGTCATCTGGACGGGCTTGGAAAGCCTTCACCTGTGGCCAGCCCTCAATGAAGCTCTTGAAGAGGGGGATGCCATGTAGGCTTCCCAGCTCCTGCCTGATTGCATCTTCCTGCTCCATGGCTAACAGTGGGTTCACACAGCACTGTCTGTCTTCCCTGCTGGCAGCCTCCACAACTTCCAGACTGGCTGGCTCCTGTGCCAGGACTGTGCCTGGGGCAGTACTGGATCCTGTGACAGGACTGTGCTCGGGACAGTGCCCCATCAGGCAAAGTCCAGCCCGGATCACATGTGGCAAGAGGTATTGCCAGTGCCACAGGAGGACGCCCTGAACCTTGTTAGGAGACTGCCCTAATGTGGATGCTGGCCATGCACTAAGCCCAAGCCATGAGGGGTTGGGAATGGAGGTCACATCACTGCTCTTCCCACCTGTCTGCACTTGTGCCCCAGCTACAGCCACGGAGTGCCATGGAGTTGTGGAACTGCAGGGACAGCTCTGCCACCCAGGACCCCTGTTGCAGCCATAACATTCAGGATTCCATGTGCTCTAGTGCCCAGGAGCCCTGGTACCTCCACCCTCCTGCTACACCCAAGCTGTAATGGTTAACGAAAGCCAAAAGCTGGCTCAGCTATGGAGCACAGAGGATGTGAAGGAAGTTCAAAATGCCAGCATCTGGGACCTGGGACAGTTTTGGACTGGGCTCTGCCTCCCTTCCCCCACCACTTCATGAGTACTGTGTTGTCCTGCAGTGTCCCTGCTTGTCCAGGGGACCAGACTGGCCAGGACCTGGCTGAGGGTGCTACAAGCAGGGGTTGCCTCTCTCTTTGCCTTCCTGGGTGCTCCTTTGATGCCTCTTGTAGGAAAGGGCTGAATAAGCTGATCTGCTCCATCCTGGATGATCTGATCCAGCAGGTTGTACAGTACAGGAACCCACCGTGATACAGCAGGTGCTGTTCTTACTCCAGGAGGAGATCAAGGAAAAGCAGAAGCCAATTGGTGCCTGGCCCAGGCCAGGTCAGTGGAGTCTCTGGGAAAGGAGGCAACTGTGCAGGATACAGCATCTGGACAATTTGCAGAAATACAATCCACAACTCTGACTTTCTGTATCCAATGAGGGAGCTGGAAGACAGTAAACGGGTCTGTTTCCCTGACAGAAAAATACAAGTAACATTTTCATCTGATGATGAGGAAATAATATTATAACCTTTACTTAAAACTGAAATGCAGATGATGGATAGGGTCAACAAACTGCCACCAAATCGATGCCATATATGGTGACCGAGATATCAAAGTTCCAGGAAGAGTCTAGCGGACGCACATGGGATGGAAACATACACAGCAATTCCCATGAAGGAGAATTGGGAAAAGATCATTCTTTATCTCCTTCAACTCCCCCTGCATCTACCAGACCTCAGGGAGGAGAGGGAAATCTCCACATACAAATAACTATCCCATTTGATCCAATTCAGGTAGCTGATTTGCAAGAGAATTTTGGCCTGAAACCAGGTGATATTGAAATCCAGCAACTGGAATCCTATCAGTGAATACACAATAATGGCCCAAACATTCAGATTCCAGTTCATTCTCATCAACAATTACCACCATTACACCATTGAAACACTCCACGATAATGTCTCTTTGGCTCTTGGTTGTATTCAAACCAGTTGTGGGCACATTATGTGACAGTTGCTATCACACGGGAAGGTGAAGATGGTGCTCCCTTCCCCTAAAGGGTGGGATGCCACAGTGGCCTCCAATGCCCCCACACCTCCAGGGCACAGTGAAATCCCCCAGCACAACCAGAGACCCATCATGGCTGAAGCCCAATGTCCAGCACCCCCCCTCAGGTGCTCCAGCTTTACTGGTGCAGTTACAAGGGAAAGCACTTTGGGGTCTGGCCCTGTGACAGCCCCTCTGCATGGCCTGGCAGTGCCCAGCCTGTTCCCAACACACTGGTGAAGAGTTGTGCACGCCAGCTCCTGCCTTCCTGGATTTCCCAGCACCCAGAAACTGCTACAGTAGGACCCTGCTCCCCACTACACCCTGCAGAGCTGAGTAAGTGGGTGCCATCTCCTGCCACCTTCCAGGTCCCCTGGCCCCAAGCAGCACCATCTAGGAACACGACCCTGCTGTGCCAGGCACACGGCTACATCCTGCCCCACTGCCTGTTTATTTAATCTCCTACACAGAGACCCCAATGGTCCATGGCCAGATGTACCCCTGCTTGCCCCATGTACCCTGGCAAGGTCCCATCCCAGAGCCACGTTTCCCCTGCCAGAGACCCCCTGCCTGCCCCACAGTGCTCAGCAGGGGTAACCACAATCCAGGGTCCCTCTTTTAGTGTCCATTCATGGCCACGTACAGCCTCCACTCACTGTCATGTGCACACAGAGTCGTGCAGGAATGCAGTGCAGGAAAACAGCACAGCAACTTGGCACTGTCCCAGCTTCAGGTGGATTTATGGCTATGGCTATTAGCTGTCCTATGATGGTGTTGGGGGATAAATGGATTAAAACCCTGCTCTTAGCTGGCTCGTTGCTCTTTATTCCTGAACTGTATTTCTCAACCATCCCATTGGGGCTTGGCAATCATCTCTGATCCGTCCCTTGTCTCTCATCCCACAAAAATATCTGGGGTGGTAGGCAGAAAGGTCATCTGTAGCTCAGCGACATGTTTTGATACCCATATCCCGGTCCACTGCCTGGAGGAAACGCTCATTGAGAAAAAGCATCTGCCCATGGGGCAGGAGACGGTCCAGGAGGCCATCAATGGCATCAGGACCGAGCAGGACGTCAGCGCCAGGGCCAAGCAGGCGAAGGGAGAGGAGCAGGCGAGGAGCCAGGCGCCGCAGGGTGATCTCAGCCAAGGACAGATTCTCTTGTGGTTCACAAACCAAGGTGAAGGCAAGGGCCAGCACTGATAACCAGACTACTGTCACCCGCTCAGGGAATGGGTCTCCGAGGGGCATCTGGAAAAGACCTCCTGGAGCATCTTGCAGTGACATCGACTCATCGAGTAGCTGAGGAAGTTGTGGGGAGGACGGGCGCCCCAAGGATGACTGAAGCAGTTGACACTGGGAGGCCACTTGCCTGGAAGAGAAAAGGGGAACCCTCGTGTTAAGAACCTCCACCTCATCCTGGGATAGTAACCCCTTTACTGGGGGAACAGGGTCCCAGGGGTCCTGCTGAGCCCAGCATCCCCAGAAAGGGTGGATCCCATGAATGGGTGGGCATGGTCCTGGGGTTCTCCCTGAGCCTTGTCCCCCGAAAAGGGGGCGGCCACAGACTCCCCTCAGGAATGGAAGGTGTCCCACAGTCAAGGGGTGTCCCAGCCCTGGGGTCAGGCAAAGCCCAAGAGCCCTCCCATCAAAAAAAGGGGGAGATCACGGCTGTGGGGATCCCCAGGGAGAGGGATGAGGTGTCACAAGTCCAGAGGGTTCAGGAGATGGAGGGCACACGGCGCCGGGTGTCCCACCGAGCCCAGCATCCGCAGGAAGGGGAGTCCCGTGGAGGCGGATGTCCCGGGTGTACCTGGCCACGACCAGCAGCTGCTCCTTGCGGAGGAGGCGATGCCGGGGGCCCCCCGGGGCGGTCCCGGGGGGGGTCCCGAAGGTGCGCGCGTACAGCACGCGGCACGGGGTGTGGTCGGCGGGCCCGCCCGGCGCCAGCAGCACGAACGCCCGGACCATGGCCGCGAAACGGCCCCGACCTCGGCGCGCCGGAAGCGGCGGTGCTGGCTCGGAAAGAGGCGGCCCTCGCGGGGGGAGGGGGGAGGGGCGCCCGGGCTTGCAGGCACGATTGGCCAAGGCTCGAGGGCAGCGAGAGCTGATTGGCGGGCCAAGGCCGGTGGGCGGGGAAAGGCCGAGGAGCTTGGCCTAGGCGAAGGCGCTGTGCCACCTGAGGGACCCCTGGCAACCCCTCTGTAGACGTCCCTAGTCGTGCTCCGTGTTCCTCTCCCCGGCGTGTTTCCGCCACGCTGCCCCAGCACCGGGAGGGGGGCAGAGCGCTGAGCCCCTACCGTGCTGCCTGCCTGGGGTCCAGGTCAGCCCCTGCCCCCGCGGGGCCTCGCTGCTGCCACCCCCCGCCCAGGGACAGCTCTTAGTGGGCAAGTGCTCGTCCTGGGTGAGGTCTCAGCCCCCCCAGGGACGCTCCCCAGCCCTCGCCCCTGCCAGCTGCTGTCCTTTTTCCCACACATCTGCCGCAGCCGCATTGTGGTACATTCGCAGGTCAGGAGCGGGGGTTGTTTTCTCTCCCGGACGAGCTAGCAGAGTGTGTAAAAAACACTCCCCACCCTCCCCAGCTCACTCCGGGGGTTAGGGTGAAGCCCCTCCTGTCCCCCAACGTAAACCACAGCTGGCTTAGAGCAGGACAAATTACTTGAAATAAGTGAGGGGGTCCTTGATGTAGCCAGCCTGGTACTCTGGGAATGCAGCACGGGGTCTGTGGCTCAAAGTGGCAGCACAGCACAGTTTTGGGATCTAAATGCAGGAAGGAGTCTGTGTCCCTGAGCGTGGAGTGGACACGGCTGGGAGAGTACATGGGAATAAATGTGGCTTAAGATAGGTCAGGGGAACATGGCCAGGGCCAGCATGGAAAAGTGCTTGTCTTGAGTGGAGCATACAGAGAGTGCTTGTCTTGTGTGGCTGGCACAGGGGATATGGAGGGGCCTATGTCCAGAGGGGCCATGGAGAGGGACATGTCTGGGAGGAGACATGAGACTCTTCCATGAGGCCTTTCCAGACAGGGAAAAGGTACTTGTTTTCTGCCTCAAGTGACTTCAGTGGCAAAGCTAGTTTTTGACAAATTCTTTATGTCTGTGCTGCTTATTCGTGGTGAGAGGAATGTTGAATTTGTCTTTACAAATGAGTTGTGGATCAGCCTGTTGATAAGGCTAGCACTGAGAGATAAAAGAAACAATGGGATGGATTCCACTGATTGATGAATGGAAAGAGATACTTGCCTTTACAAACAAACTGTAGGGCTGCTGATAAATGAAATTGGATATCGAAAGATGAAAGAAGCAACGGGGGGAAAACTATGAATTCTGTAAGAATTAAAAATTAAAAGGAAGGGTTATACATTAGAGGGGAATTTCAGGTATCAGGCGTTCCGGGAAGTCTGTGCCTCTCAAGTACCTCAGCCAATGGGGAAAGAGAGAGGGAAATGCGGCTGGGAAAATAGGATAAAAAGGAGGCTGCGTCCTCCAAAAATTTGAGAGATCCCAGGGGAATGTCCCATGACCTCTCCCTTTATTCGAATAAAGCAAAAAGGACTCCTCTGTCTCCTTTTTGGACATAAACCTCTGGTGTTTGTGGATTAATTTTCCGGACAGTGGGTTGAAGGTGGGGGTGGGAGGGTCTTTCTGCCATGTTCGGGGCATGTTTGGGGACGTGATATCCCAAATATGGTGTCCATATTCCAGCTACGGTGTCCATCCCAGGCATGATGTCTGAAAGGAATAAGATGATTGTGTCTTTACAAACAGACTGTGTGAATCTGCTTGTAGATAGGGAAGTAACAGAAGAAACGATTAGTTCTAAAAAATGTTACTAATCAACACGGACTGTTGCTTAGCCAAGGCTGTGATAAATTCCTGAACCTAGAAAAAAAGAGCAAAGACTTAATAGAATTATGAATAGCATTATTTTTCTTTTATATAACAAAAGGGGGGTGTGTATTAGAGGGGGGGGCATAGAGTAGGTGATTCGGGAAGTCTGTATCTTCCGAGTACCTCAGCCAATGGGAAAGAGGAAGAGGGTGATCCGGCCAGGAACTTGGGAAAAAAAGGGGGCTGCGTCCCCCAACAATCTGAGAGACCCGACCCCATGGCCTCTCCCTTTATTCGAATATTCACACGACTTTATTCACACGACTCCTCTGTCTCCTTTTTGGACAAAAACGTCTGACATCGTGGATTCATGTTCCAACAGTGTCCCTTCCGGAGCTGTCTCTCTGGTGCTACCCCCCAGGAGTGGATAGCCAGCCTTATCCTCATGCAACCTTCCTGCACATAGCCCAGAGCTGCACCTCCATGAGTGAGGGCAGGAGGCGTTCCCGTGTCGCGCCGCGGCCGCCAGGGGGCGCAGCCACGCAGGGCCGCGGGAGCCTGAGGGTCTCTTCCCGGGGGTCTCGTCCCGGGGAGCAGCTGCAGGTCAACCCCCCGACGACCACTCCTGCTACAGGGCCTCACCTGGTTTTTCGTCCCCAGCTCTTTTCCAGAGCCACTGCCGGCAGGATGAACCTTCGGCCCCGCGCTGGCTCTGCTGTAATCCGGCAGAATAGTTCGAACTGGCCACGTCCGGAGCCACTCGTGCTCGAGCAAGCTGCACCGCGTGTGGATCCCCCAGGAAGACGCCAGGATGCCTGCACCGAGGACGATGCTGATGTTGCCTGCTCTCAGCACGGCCCTGCCAGAGCCCACCAGGGCTGCTGCGGGGAGCTGGCGGCTGCAGTTCCTTTGTGCCTCCAGTTAGTTTGCGTCTCCTGCTCGGGGAAGGCTCTCACTACTTTCTGCTTCACCTCATTTGCAGCTTCAGGTGATTTGTTTCTGTCCCCAGTTTGTCTCAGGTTCAGCTCATAGAGTTTGTTCGTGCCTCCAGCATGTTTTAGACTCCAAGCTGGTTTCACCTTCCCCGACTTCATTTCGGCTCCAGCTTATTTCCATGTTTGTTTGATCTGTGGCTCCAGTTCATTTCTGCTCTGGCTCATTATTGCTTGTGCTTGTTCAAACGATCTTGGCTTTTGACAGGGCCACAAATCAATCACAATCATAAGTTAAATATGAACGGACATAATTGTATGTTGTCTAAAGACAGACTAAGCTTCTTGGATCAATGCAAGTGGACCTTCAACTCCAGTGGGATTCCACACAGGTGCCCCCATACCAGTTCCCACTGTCAGGAAAATTCACAAATGCCAGAAGTTTATGTCCATAAAGGAGACAGAGGAGTCCTGCAACTTTATTTGAATAAAGGGAGAGAGTCCACCGGGGCACAAGCCCGTGGGGTTTTCTCTCTCGAGGTTTCGGAGGGTGCAGCCTCTATCCTCAACTCCCAGCTGCAAGTTGCCCTCGTCCTTTCCCCATTGGCTGAGGTACTCAGAAGGTACAGCCATCCCAAACCTCCTACCACATATTCCCCCCTTGTACCTACTATTTTACCCCAAAGTTCTGAAGTTCAGGCTTGTGCAGACCCACTTGTTTGTTTCAGGAGCCAAGCTGTCTGGTCTCCGCAACAAACCTGCTGCTCAAAGTTAGTACAGACATTGAGACCCATTTCAAATATGTTAACCCATACCTTCACCCATCAAATTGTTTATAGAGACATTAGCTTTCGTCTCACAACCTTGATGAGTAACGAAGTTCCAAACAAGGGAAAGAGCAAAGTGGTTAAGTAATGGAAGCAATAATCACAGGAATGTGGAAGACAGAAAACTGATGGCCTAAGTCCTTGACGGGGAAAACACAGAAAGATAACACCCTTCTAATCCAGACTATGTAATTATGAATTAAAAATATCTCCGGTTTTGACTGGTTCTGTAGTGAGAACTTGCCCGAGTGATGAACTTTTGCTCCTTATAACAGTAAAAGCTATACCCCAGCTCAGGCACCTCCCCCTACAAAAAAGACCACCGCTCACCGAGCATGGGCAATGATTTCTTGGGACACAATGGCTTCAGTTTGAAGCAGAGAAAGGACTAGTCGATAACAACTTAAGTGACTTCAGTAAGACTTAATAGTCCAAGATTGTGCCTTGGGGTGCTGCGGTTTACCACCCAGCACCTCTTTCTGCCAGAACAGTAAATCAAATTATGTGTCATGGTTAGAGAAATCTCCTTTTTTACAGTGAATGAGTTTGGTTGAGTATCTGATCCTATGTGTTAACCTATAGAAGCACTCACCCCTTTCACCACACTGTTAATTCCCTCAGTAATTTTGATATAGGAAGATGACCCAAGAAATATTTGCACATTATTCTAGCAGGGAAGATACATTTTCCTTAAAAGTAGAGCCCTGTGGCCTCAGACTGTGTTCAGTGGCTGTTGCTGTATCAAATTATTTTTCCTTCTTGCCATTGCCATCCATTTATACCTGCTACAGGATAACTGCTGCCCCTTCCAGCAATATCAGAGACCTATAGGGCAAGTCAGTTCAGCTATAGGTGATTTCAAGGTAGTTTATGTTGTGGTGAGTTCATTGGTTTTGTTCTTTCAAGCATTATATGCCAGCCTTATGCAAAACCCAGTACATAAAGAGGCTACAAGACAGCTGAAGAAGGGCTTTGGTCAAGGGCATGGAGTGATAGGGCAAGGGGGAATGGCTTCAAACTGACAAAAGGCAGGTATAGATTATATATCAGGAATAAATCCTTCCCTGTGAAAGTGTTGAGGCACTGGAACATCCCTGGAAGTGTTCAAGGCCAAGCTGGATGGTGCTTTGAGCAATCTGGTGTAGTGGTCCTGTCCATTGCAGGGGTGTTGGAACTAGATCTTTGAGGTGCCTTCCAACCCAAGCCATTCTATAATTCTAAGGTACAAACTGGTCTGGTTCTGTCTTTTGGGGGCTGTGCTAGTACAATTGCATATTCCTTCTGTTATACCCAAACTCGAAGTTTTCCTTCCATCTGAAAAAAAAACCAAAACAGTAGGCTGAAACAAAATTAAACAGAAAGAGAGCAATTAATCAGTCCCCTATTTAGAAAAGGATGAGGATTTTAAAAAGCCCCAAACTAACAAGAACAAAGCAAATAAATAAACAGCCAAACCTCAAAGCACAGAACGATATTTTGGTACTAACCTTGCTGGTGCAGCTGCTAATATAAATGTTTTCTGACACAAGTGCATATTATGAACCTTTGTGTAACAGTTAACCCGTAAAGGTTTGTGTACGCAGAGCAAGGCTGGGGAGGTGATTACTTTTGGCTGCACTGATTTCAGGTGGGTTTTGCAATTCTGCTTTGCTTTACTTCTGAAAAAAGTCAGAAATGCCTTCATAAAGTCTGACAGAGAGCTGATGGCATTGGAGTGGCTGTAACTGGAGAAATCCAGAAAAATCTGAGCCTCCTAGTGCTGCAAGGCTTCGTTTGGCAAGTGAAAGGAAATTCAGTTGCATTCTCACAGTCCAGCCTCTTGATCAGGGAAAAGAATTCCCAATGGTGTCTCTGAAGCCACTTCTCACTAAACAAATAATCAGCTCCAAGGAGAACCTCTTGACTCAAAATAATATAGTTCCACCATTTACTGAACAAAGTGGTCTTATCCGCCTTTTAAGGAGAAAACTACTTTATGACAATAGAAATCCTCTTAGGTCATCAGCCTGTACCTTGAAGCAACCTTTCTTGCATTCTCTTTCCTCCTCACCATTGGGTTTCTTGGCTTATTTTTAGTTTACAGTTACTGTCACATTTACAGTGGAGACATGTGCAGCAGGTCAAATAAACTGCCTCCCTGAAAATGAGCACATTTACACTGTCCTGTTTAATTTCTTAGTGAAAATCGTATCTACGATTTTCTGTGTCTGTGTTTTTTTTCTTGGAGAAACTTTTCCTCTGCTGGCAACACTGATGGTGAAGACCAGGACTAGTATGGCCACGTGGGAGAGTCTTGTGAGCCTGTCATGTCCAAAGTGTCACCCACTGCACACATAAGCAGGAGCTTGTGCCAGTTGTTCTCAAAGCTATGGCACTTTCAGGTGTATTCATAGACTTGTTCCTCCTGTTCATGGTAGATGATTTACAGGAGCACAGAGCAGAGGCTGCTCTCCAGTAGGGGATTTAAATCCTGTGTGACCTTGCATTTTGAAGGATCCTTTAGCCTTTGAATTGTGTTTACCCTTATGGTTTTCAGGCTGAATATCTTATATATGAGTGGCAGAGCCCCAAAGCCCTGCTTTGGCTTCTCACATCCTCCCACTTAGTTTTTGCTATTTTTAGAGACATCTCTATTCCTCCACAAAACCAGCTCCCACCAACCACTCCCATGAAAAAAATGCAAACAGTAGAAAGTTTAACAGGACCTCTACCAGAGTTTAACTCCTGCAAGTTGTCTGCCTGGAGGTCCCTCTGACGTTACTGCAGTATTTGGTTTTGCTAAGTTTGAGCCGTAAATATACTCCTGACAGCTGGAACAGCATCTGCAAAACCACTTCCAGCCAGGTGTCAGTAACATGGCTTTGATTCAGACTTTGGGAACAGTATATGATTGATTACAAGGATTTCCAGCTCACAGATCTTTAATGAAGATCTGCTGAAACAGAAATATCACAAACCTCTCAAGATGCTTATGTCATTTTCCAGTGTTAAAATAGCTGGTGCTTTAAAGGGTACCTTTGGGAAACAGCATTATAAACCTTTTACAACCAATGTTACAAGGACATCCAACTCTGCAAAACTGCATCAGTACTGTGAAACTTGTTTGCTGAGCACCCTTCCATCTTGCCAACAAACTGTGTCCCCAGGCATGGAAAGAGGAACAGTTTGTCACCATGGCATATGGCAGAGCACATCACATCCTCCTAAGTAAATGCCATGGCAAAGCCATTCTTACTCCTGAGAAGTCAGAGCTGCATGGATATGCTGCTGTATGCATTCTGCTGATGTATTCTCATGTGTCATGTCCCAGAAAGCTCTTTCCTCTCTATGGCTACCACCTCCATGGCTTCAAGGACAGCCCAAGACCCTTTGGCTGCTGAGCTGAAAAAACTCTGCCATCAGGCGGTATTCAGAAAGCACTGCTCAAGTCAGGCCACCTCCCCTAAAAACTTAATTTTTCTTAATTTAAATTAAGAAAGTAATTTATTTAAACAAAATCCATACCAATTTGGAAGAGCAGATTCATGTTTCCTTCTAGAATGAAGTTAACATTTTTAATAGGGAAAGTATTATGTAATCAGAGAAACAAAATAGAAATGAGAAGACTTAACACTGACTTCTGGTCACTGCACCCTCCCCAGGATTCTTGCCCCTGCTCCTGGCTTATACTGCAGACAATGCATTTCTGGGACCATGATCTGCTCTGTTGTTGCCTTGAGGTCCTTGGGAAGCAATTTATCTCCCAGCCTACAGCTCCTCCCCGTGCTCCAAGCTCTTTTCAAGCTCCGCCTGATGAAAGTGCATGGGGACTTTAATGAAGTGGGGTTCCAGACAGCTCTGTCTCTGCAAATTTTAAGTCAAGACATATTCAGAAGCAGGGGGATGCTTGGGGCAGACTGCTTGCTCCCAGCATGGATGCAAGACAGAGGAAGGTGGACCAGTGCAGCAGATACTATTCTGATAGTCTGACTTTATGAAGGCTGCTGTTGTGCTGTCCCATTTCATCTAAATACTTGTGTGCTCTGTGTGTGCTCCTTGGAAAGTTTCAGTATTGCACTTGCTAACTTGTCTACAACCTCCTTTGAAGGTGCTCCCAGCACTTTTCTTCCAACATTTGGGTTCCTAGAAGTCCAGTCTCTCTCCTGTAAGATGGCTAATTGATTTGACCCGGTTAACTTGATTTAATATGTAGTCCCACTACACCCTGGCACAGGTCCTTCTGCCACGTCTGTGCCCTTTGTATTTTCACATTAGTGCCTTCATAACTCTCTGCCTCCCACCTACTGTGCTATGTTCTAGCATACTTGTTCCTTAGATTCCTGAGATTTGTGCAGAAGGACATGAATAATCTCACTGCTTTAATTTTCTTTGTAATGGAAGTCCAATGGCAACGTTTCCCAAGAGTCTGTCCAGGAAGTCCCTGCCGCCTCTGGCCAGTCAGCGACCCTTCTCTGGTGTTGCATTTAATATGTGGCTGTCAGCCTCCCCCTTCTCGTGTCACCAAAAGCACTGCCAACCAATCTCCTGATCTCCACAAGTTTATCCAGACAAGATAAGGAAAATAGTTGTTTCCAAGGTCTTTAGTCCACATTTCTACTTTCTCATTTGTCACCTTCTCAAGTGAAAGAAGAGCTTCCAATTTTTCAGTGAAATCTCTGTTGTAAACGTATATCCATGAGCACAAAGCAAGGCTGTGAGGGTGTTAGTACCTCACCAGCATGCTTGTACACGAGCCGGTATCCTGGGCAGGAACAGGGATGCCCCTTCTCCCCATAAGCTTCATCCTGTCAGACAGGAATGTCCCATGCCAGGCTCACCACGTGGGCAGGTGCAGCAGCAAGATGTGTCAGAGTGGGAGCTGTCTAGGACTGGCTATCCAAATCGCCTTTCTTCAAACCAGTTGCTCTCCTTGTGCACCCTTGACTTGCTGGGGGCTAGCTTTAATGGACAGGAGCACCCCGAAATTCCCACTTCAAAGGCAGAGTCGAAAGTCCTCCCTATCTTTCTTTGGTAAAATGAGGCAGACTGGGCTTTGATCATCAAAGTTTTCCTGTTTGGAAGGAGGAGGAGCCATCTAGTCATGGGTTCATTGATTCCCTGCCCAGCAAGAATGTCTGCCTGGGCACAGCCAAGCCGCACCTCTGATGACTAACAGGCAGTGCTCTCTCTCTTTGATACATTATCAGCTGGGTTTATCAGAGTATCAACACAACCTCCCCACTCCAGGCCTCGCCCCTTCTGGCCAGTTCTCTCTACAGAGCGGGTCAGGGCTGCATGAAAGCTGAGCTCACTCCAATTCCAAGGAATCTTAACAAATCTTAATAGCAGGTTTTAAGCTACTTCTTTACTTTTTTTGGTCTGTGCGGGAAGTCTGAGCTAAAAAAAAAAAAGGAAAGAGACAGAAGTATAATTGTTTTGGCACGCCTGCATTCCTACTTCAGTCAGACGGGTAGGCACTCTTTCTTGTTGGAGGCAGGAAGAGGATCTGATCCCTGAAGATCATCGCCACGAACGTGCGTAAGTGAAACCTGCAGCCATGCTGAAACAGATATTATCGGACATGTACATCGATCCAGAGCTGCTGGCAGAACTCAGCGAGGAGCAGAAGCAGATCCTCTTCTTCAAGATGAGGCAGGAACAGATCAGACGGTGGGAGGAAAGAGAAGCTGTGGCAGAAAAGATTTCAGCAAAGAAGCCACTGCCAAGAAAAGGTAAGTCTCTCCCTTCTGGCTGCTTCACCCTCTGGCATGTATCTGCCTAGTCAACCACTTCCTAGAAATAGGAAGTAATGTATCCTTACATAGGCTTATTTCTAAACATAACTAAATCCACCTGCAATGGCGTTGTTTTGGCTAGGCACACAATGGTTTTTAATCCCTGCCCTAGACATTCTGTCCTTGACCAAATTGCTTAACTCCCCTAGCTGGGAAGACAGGGCTTATTTGCCTCCAGGAGATGCATCTCATTAAGTTTCCCACTAAACGGTGCCTCTGAATGTGTCTTTAACATAACCATGGATTTGAATATCTGTCCTGAGGCACCAGATCTGATGGGTAGTTCACACTGAGATTTTAGATCTGAAGTTTTCTTGCCAGGATTACACAGTATGCTGGCTGCTAGGAAGATAGCTCTCTTCTCCCAGGTCTCCTCCATGTGCTCTATTTGCCGGTAGCTCACTCTCACACAGTTTGGGGAGGACAGTGGTCAATAATTAAAGCAAGAAAAGAAACAGTAGTGATCCTTCTCCTTTGCTCCCAGACTCAGAAATGCTTCCTTCACTGACCTGGCTCAAGGTATATGAAAATGGCAAGTGTGGGCTGCACCCCAGTTGAGCTTTCTTCATGTACAGTTGCTTTTGGGGGGGACTCTGTCACCAAGAGCAGTTGGTAGGGCACAGAAAGTGCAACACAGGTCTTGCAAAGAGCTACCCAGCAAATAGCATTTGCCAAAGAGCTGCTTCTTTTCCAGCCAACAGGAAGTCAGTGACATGGAAACTAGGCGCTGACAATGAAGTGTGGGTCTGGGTGATGGGCGAGCATCCTTCAGATAAATCCTATGCAGCCATCTGTGAAGAGATCCAGGCACAAAGAGCAAAGCGCTTAGTGAGAGAGCAAGGCCAGGAGGCCAGGTAAGCACCCTTCAGCTGAAGGAATTGGTGGGCAGATATGGAGGAGAAGGCTTTTGTCTAGGGACACATGAGCTGGAGTCTTCTCTGTAGGGGCTGTGGTTAGCACTATCACGCTAGCCTTGCTGGCAAAAGGCACAGGCAAAGGCTGGCTTTCTGAGAGGATGCACAATGCTGGTAGAGACCAGCTGCAGCCTGAGACTTGCCCTCACTGAGCGTCTTGTGACATGCTACTGCATGGGACCCTCTGCAGACCACAGGAAATGCTGATGCTGTTACTGCAGCAGGTGACTGGCTCGGATTGCTTTGATTCACTGGCAGGAGCTCGGGTACAGCTGGACAACAGTTACTCACCATGAGTCATTAATTTAATTACTCACCTACCTGATCTGGAGATATAACAGCCTATGCACATGTGGCTTCATTGCAGCTCTGCTCTGCTCACGTGCAGCCTCCTCACGAGATGCTCAGACAGCAGAAAGTGACTCCCTCCTAAGTCCTCTCTCTCTTATATTTCAGAGACACTGACTCTTCTGCAACATGGTCTCTACACCCACAGCCAGGACTTCTGTCTGAGACAGATCTTCATGAGAATAAAAAAAATACTGCGGAGAAAAGGGAGGAACATGGGAGAAGAATGACTGATACTGATACAACAGGAAAAAGCCAGGAGCTCACAAAGGTAGTTTTCCATTTTCCCATAACTATACATGATTTTTGAGGTCTAGGAAGTGCAGAAAATCCTGGTTGCTGTAAATAAAAATCTGAAGGAGAAAGCCATCTATCTGTTAAAGCTTTTCTTCTACAGAAGAGAAGAAGCCGTGGTGTTACATCCTTCCTTAAGAATCAGGAGGTCCATGTGTTATTCTCAGCTGGGATAGATCTGCTCTGCACCAATGGATAAATTACTCTGAATTCCTTTGCTTTCATTCTCTGTGGGTAAAACCAGGGGTGCAGTACTTTCCCTTCTGCACTGTGGCTGGTTTGGATGGCTTTTGGGGCAAGACCAGGGAGGCTATCCTAGGATCTTTAAATGGAAGGTCACAGCCCTCAGACAAATAATTTGCTTTTATAAAAGACTAAATGAAGATAATTTTACCAGCATCATCTGACATGCATATTTTAGGTGGCTCTTGGTGTTTTTTGTCTTCTAATACAGAAAACAGCTTATGACCTTGATAGCACAGGACAGCTCCAAATGCAGCAATACAGTGTCTGCTTTCCTGCAGTTTTTCATTACAGAAATATTTTTTCCAGCAGTAAATACATTTGTGCTTTATACTGGGCTACAAAATGCCATTTGCAGAGAAAGAAAAAAAAAGAAGAGTAAATTAACTACCATGCAACCACAGTTGAACAAAAGGAACAGGACACCATGCCAATGTAATGGGAGAGGTCCAGTCTCATTCTGCAGTTTTCATTCAGCCTTGAATGAACTTGTATGAGTGTATATTCTTTTATCATGCAGCCACTCCATACTTTGGTATAAAAAGTATGATAACAGAAGGTTGAGTTTTGGCAAAATGCTCTCCTACTGCTACCAAAATAGTGAATGGAATTCAGAGTGACTGTCTCCTTTATCGAAAGCCTCTGAGTCACATGGGGTTTCTCTGCACTGTTTGCTGAAGTTGAGCAACTATGTGGGAGATTCTTGTTTTTCAAAGGAACTTATTAGTCAAAGCTGACAAAAAAAACCAAGCCAACCACCCAACCAACCACAACAACAAAAGCAAAAAACAAAAAAATAAAACCCAAAACAACAACAACAACAAAAAACCAACAAAAAAACCCCAAGCCACCACCAAAAATCTATCCCCCTTTCAAAGTGTTGCACATGGAAATAGATGGTTGTATATTTTCCTTTCTTTTCTGTCATTATATTATTAGTAAATTTTCCAAGGTTTCTGAGGCTTTTGCTGTTAGAAGGAGGGCTCCAGACTGAAGTACCTTGTTGTATTTTCTAGGCCTGGAGAGAGGCTTTTTCCTACCTCCCGCATTAAAATGTTTTCTCTGAGATCTAGCTCCCATTTAACCTGAGAGATCCAGGTATCATGCTGCAGGGAATAGGGCTGATCTATGAAAAAATGCTGCTTCATATACATTTGAAGTTCCTAGTTTCCTGTTGAGGAGAGGGAAATTGTAAAGCCATGTTCATATTAAATATTAGCCAAGTAGGTGATGGAACTAAAAGGAAGTGTGACCTTGGTAAGCAGAATAGTACAGTTAACTCATCACTCGTTGGGCCATGGGAGGTAGTTGGGGTCTGATGGGGAGATGGGTGGGTGTTTACTGAAAGTAAAACCTAACAGTTCATCTGCAGAGGCAGCTCTCAGCTAGGGACTTTAGGCAGGGCAGCTGGGCTGGTTTTCAGGGAAGAGAGAACACGAAATATCCAGCCAGTTGGATCAGTTTGTCAAGTAGGAGTTTGCAGCAACCTAGCCACAGCTGCAAACATGCACAGGCAGGTAAAGTTCTAGACAGCAGGTTCTGCAAGGGATTGCTTTAGAGGAAGGGAAGAAAGGGACTGCTCCCTGGGAGCACTTGTGAGCATTGCTTAGCAAATCTAGGCATGCTTATGGCAATCCTGACACCCCTGAGTTCTCCTCCTGTGGCATGTTTGGCCAATATGAGGGAAAACCCCTCCAATGTTTGTCAGAGCAGGCTGGCAAGATTTGTTAACAAATGTCACATAACTTTGCATTAAACACCTATTGCACCAAAAAAAGAGCAATTGTCCTAATGTCACATTTATTTCTCACCACTCTTTTGCTCTGCTCAGAGGGGAACCAGAAATGTTCACCAGATGCTGGCAGATTGCCATGTGAGGAAGCATGCTTTCCAACAGGTAAGTGGCAAACTATGATGTTCCTAACAGATTGAGTGGGGGCCAGTGCTTTATCCTAGAGTCCCAGTCAGCTTCAGAGCCTCACGTGAGCCAAGAATGTTCTCACCTTTTGGACCAGTTTTATCCAGTACTGCCATGTTCCTCATGTATGGTGTGATGATTTGGAGATGATACAAAGCAGGCCAGGCTGGCAGATTGGGAAGTAGCACAGGGAGATGCTCCTGATGATTTTTGGTGGGCTGTTTTCTCTTCCTGCCTCACTTGTCACCTGTAGTAAAGACAGAGGGTCTCTATGTTGTTGAAATTGGAGGGATTCACTGTAAAGAATTAAGTTCCCAGTATTTCAAGGCTAGCTAAAAAGCAGGGCTAAAGCTTGCCTGAGACAAAGCTGAACATGCTGGTTCTTTCATAGATGAAGGAAGCACAGAGGAAAAATTCAGAAGAGATCACAGCCCCCCAGGACCCAATACCACAGAGCCACGCCAGCACAGAGAGCCAGAGAATGGTGCAGAAATTGGATGAGAATGAGCCTGAATGGCAGGAATTCTGTAAGATATTAAAATTACCTTTTCCTACTATAAGGCTTGAGAAGTCCTAGGGCTCTGTTGGGTCATCTTCTTCTGCCATACTAGAATTGAGTAATAGGTCAGAGGGTGGAGAGTATTGCCTAGAAATTATTACAGCACTGTAATATCAGAAATATTTCTGAGTCCATGCAGCATTGAGACTAGAGCTGGGCAGGGGAATGGAAGACATTCCAGCTGACATTATGTTAAAACAAGCAACAAATAGGAACCACATGAGTATAACCAGTACAATTAATTTTAAACTAGAAACTGGCCTTTTGTAGGACTTTGCAGTAACATTGCTCTTGGACAAGGATAATAGGTAATAGGCATTAATCAAAAAGGGCTTCCCTGTCATTCAAGCATGATCCCACCTAAGTAAAGCCCTGCTGCACTGTCTTATGTAATGAATCTCAATGATAAAAAGGAAAATGGCAAACAGTATGAGACTTGCATTAGCATCCACCACTGCTGACAAATGCTTCCTGAATGAGAACCTGATGCACTTTTCTTCCCAGTTCCTCCCCTGCTGCTCAATAGATGGCAATGCTGTACCACCAGTTGTTTCCATCTCAGTCTAGGGGTTTTATTTTTCTGACTGATAAAAAAATACCACTGACTGGAGAGCTGGTTACTTGTACAGACTCCACGGTGAGATGGACCTAGACAGTCAAGGCAGTTTTACAGGAAAAAAAACCAAACAAAAACACAGTCAAGTCCTCCACTTTCCATAATAGTTTCAGCAAGGCTCCTTCCCACCCTCCATAATTGGTTAGCATTTTCAAATCCTTCAAATTATTGATTTGGGGTCATTTCAGCAGCTTCAACTCCATAAGCCCTGCCCTCCCCCTACCAGTTTCCATGAAAGGCACTACAGAAATCCATGTCCGAGCCAGGAGTCAGCATCTGAAACAAAACCAAAGAAGTCTCTAAGTACAAAGGGACCTGGTACCAAGAAAAAATATGCAGATTTTTAATCTTGTCACAGAAAAAAAAAATGTTTTTTAATCTTTTAAAGTAATACAAACTGTGCCACTTAACACGTGGGAGACATGTGGCAAATGGTCTCACAACTGAGTGAATCTTTCAGCTTGTGAAATGGATTATTCTTCCATTTCATCAAGAGGAAGATGGCCAAAGAGTAGCAAGCTTTAAACTTGCTGCTTGATCGCTCCTGTAGGACTCCTTTTTTGTTCCAGTGTGGAAATCCAAGGCAGCAGATGAGAAGAGACGCTCCCTTGCACGGCAAGCCAGAGATGACTACAGGAGGCTTTCACTGCAGGGCATCCACAGAGGGAAGCATGCAGATATTTCCAAGGGTGCCATAGTAGGAGATCGGCGACCACTTCAATATCCACCTCTTCCCCCCAAGCCTAAAGTTCCACTTCCTGCAACGGCAAATGGGAGAGCAATTAGGTAAGGAAGCCCCTGTGCACTGTAGAAAGGAGAAGGGATGAGATTCTTTTGCTCTAGAATGGGATGGTTAAGAAGGGAATGGTTAGCTCTCCCCCTTGTGTGGAACAGACAACCAATATAGAGCCTAAGCTATATTCCAGCCTAGATGTGATGAGGCCTTCAGTCGTCCATTCCTGGAGGGTAACAGGTTTAGTTATCAGAGTGTCCTAAGCCTGGACATATAGAGCCCCTATGATGCCAGATGTCCACTGAAAACCATATTCCATACAGCTGAACTGGTTGGTGTAAGCTGTCTGTTTAGGGCTGGTCTTAAAATTCTAAGCAAACTAAGTCTTGCACAGGGACTCAAAACCTATAATTTGAATCTGATGCACAAACCAGAGGTCTTTTCTAACAGGAAAGAGGGAGTCCAGAGGACAATCTCCAATTCCACAGAAGAAAGCATAATCAAGTGGTTCAAAGAGGAGCAATTCCCTCTCCGAGCTGGATATCTGAAAACCGCAGACACAATAGCACCTTGGTTCCATGGTGAGTCCTGGGAATTTCCACCCCAACCTAAGTGTTTAAGGAGTTTTTTCTGCTAACATGGCTGCTAACACAGGTTGGGCTTGGGAGTAAAGCTCCTATACTGGAATCAACATACAACAACTGCAATACTATTCTCTCTCATAACACAGCAACAGTCATTTCGAGCTCTTCATGTTTGTAATGCATCATTTGGCCAAGTGTGGAAACAGTGAAAGGGATGGAAGTGCCATGGACTGGTTTTAGAGCAGATTTCTTGTGAGAACTGTTCTGTCCAGTCCTGCACAAATGCTTTTTTCCCTTCAGTTTTGTGTTTTGGTTTTGAACAGGTATCCTAACCTCTAAGAAAGCAGAAGAGCTTCTGAATAAAACAGTACCGGGGAGTTTTCTGATCCGGGTCAGTGAGAAAATCAAAGGCTACGTGCTCTCCTATCAGTCTGTGGAAAGGTGTAAACATTTCCTCATTGATGCCTCCAGTGATTCCTACAGCTTCCTTGGAGTGGACCAGCTGCAACATGCAACACTGGCTGACCTTGTAGACTACCACAAGGTGAACATCTAGCAATGAATTTATTAACTGTTTAATTTTCTCAGGGCACTTCAAAATAAGAAAGAATAGCTTCAGTTGTTTTGAAGTTGGTAACTAGACCCATTTTAACTGCTGCTGGATATCCTGTGTACTGCTTCAGAAGGGTATGTCAGCCTGACTGGTACAGCCCAGGGGACCTAATACGTCTCAGATATCTTAGATTTGACTCACTCACCCTCAAGCCCACACTTTGCATGTAGGGCCCAAGTTACTTACAAGCTACTTAGTAGAAATGTTGAAGAGAGGTGACAGCATGCTCATGCAAACTCCTTTTTTATCCTCTCTGTGGTTAAGGGGCACTGGAAAGTTGGGTAAACACAAAATCCTGCTTACCTTCAGCTTCAGCATGGAGGAAGGTATCTTTATAATCTCAAAGCAGGCAATGGGTGGTACTGAGCAAAGGCAAAAAGTAGAAGTGAAGGAGTAAGGTTGGTGAGCTCTTGCAACAGTAACAGTGGTGTTTACCAGCACTGACTGCAGTTACATGGGTTTCAAAGAGAACCAGATAGATGGTTCATTCATTACTGTAAGATCTGCCATGGGATAGAACAATATTTTTTCTCATAGGTTCATTTAAAATCCCTATTTCTTTTAAATAAGTGCCTAGTTTAATACAAACATGGCTAAACAAAACTGGACATGAGAAAAATAGCGATGCTCATTTGCTCTATGGAACTCTACCTCAATTGCCTGAATTTGCTTCTTGCATGATTTTCACAGTTCAGGCTGAAAATATTAAAAGTAGGAGTTACACAGCTATTTGTACCAGAGCTAAAGGATTTAAAGCCTGGCTGTGCATAGCTACATCAATTATAGAGCCAAGCCCACAGTCTGCTAAGAATCCTGCAAACCCTCTGCACTACAGCACATGTGGGCAGATGAACCCACTCTGCCAAAATGCCCCACTGGGTTCTGCTTATTACCCACCAGGTGACCATGAAAGAAGGCAAGTCCCCATCATGCCTCTGTTGCTAGGATGGAGAATGAGATTGGAAGCAGGGACTGTACTGTCAGGGAATTCTCTGCTTAGAACAGGACTTGTCTATGCAGAGGGTGTGTGCTCTTCCAGAATCCACCCTTGTCCCTCTCACAAACATAACCAGAAGCACAGTTCACAAACCCTGGTCCTGCTTTACCTGCAAGCTGCACAGTCCTGGCTCTAGCACTTTCTAGGGAGGGCATCACTCCATGTAAGAGAAGCTGCAGTTTCCTCAGGGATGAGCACAGCTCTTTCATAGAACTGCCAGAGTTGTGTCACTGAGTTATGGCACAGAGCACAGACATTGTGTTACGAAGACAGAGGGCAGAGGGCCCTTCCCTGAGTTCTCCAGGGAATTGAGCTGTATCACACAGTGGTGGGAACACATCCACACCATAACAGAGGCAGGAAGACTGCTGTCAATCTCAGGCCGAGTTCTCAACAACTGCGAAGTTGTGACAGGCAGGGTCTGTTTGAAAGCTGGTGTTTGATCATATCCTATATTAACAGGACGAGCCCATTACTTCCTTGGGAAAGGAGCTGTTGCTTTACCCATGTGGCCAAGAGGACGAAGAGCCAGATTACATCTCTCTCTTTGAGTAAACCTCCTCATCTCGCTGGACAGTTCCAGACTCCTATTCACAAAAAACTTGGAACAGAACTTGGAACTAGAACTGCTGATACTTACCTGAATGCACAAGTGCCTCTATTTTGTATCATTCACAACAAAGCAGTAGTAGGATAAATACTGTTGCGAGCTACAGGATGCATCAACCCAGCAACCTGCAAAGCATCTGGATAGAGAGAATGAGTTAATGAAGTTACCAGTTGAAGAGGGAAATACTGCCCTGGATTTTCAGTGGGTTTTTGTAGGTTTCTTGGGAGACTTCTGTATTCAAGTTGCCTTTTGTTCTTGAATGCAAGGTTCCCATCTGGGAAATAGATTAGTACCTACAGTTGAAGGTATATGACATTATACCTTCCTGAAAGCACAAAACAACTTGGAGAGGTGAATCAATCTTGATATGCAATTTGAATAATGTGAACCTTAATTCTACAAAATGCTGTGTCCTTGGAAGGAAGGATGTTCAGCCAAACATCCAAGCAAACCCTGAGTTCCTTTCAGTGAAAGGTGCTCTCTGTGACAAGAGATTTGCACACACAAAAAGTGCATTTTTTTAAACTCCCCTAGCCTCTGAATATATATTCAGATATATATTCACTCTTTTAACCTGTATTTAACTCCCACACAGGCCTTTCTGCATTGAAAGGGATTATCCTTTTTGAAAAGGAAAGGAGACAGAACAGAGGCATTTTTATGAATGACAACCACATGTACAGAGCCTAAAAATGTAAGAAGGAACCTATATCAGTATTAATACAGATTACAGAAGAGAATTTGCCAGTAAAGAATGCTGTTTTCCAAAATAGAGCTATTTGTTGCAAGCTGTGTCCCAATTACTGAGATGCGTCTGGTGTAAACTTCATCATAAAACTTGTTCGCTCAACATAATGTTCTCTCTTCTTATCTGTTACTATGCTCTTTAAATACATAATTCAGAAGATTGGGGGACAACCTGGATAGAATCACATAACAAATTAGTCTTCATCCAGGTTCCCTCATGTTGTTGCACATGACAAACTCTGCAGCTGAGGGTTGTGGTGTGAATATGCAAACACCTTTTTTAGAGGCACAATCCTCAAATAGTGAACAACAGTTGATCTTGTTTCAGTTGTTTACCTGTTTTTACCTGTTCTCTTTTTTTCTGTTAGATCAGGACTACTCCACTTAACTTGAAGAAGCAGTCAAAACTTTCAGTCTTATATTAATCTGGGTTTTGCAGAATACAGGTTTTTAAAAATTGTGTTCATCTGGTCTTAACATTTACAATGCTGTAAAGACTATGCTGACAGGCGGTTTCCATTCCAGGAAAGAGGGGATAACTGCATTCCAGTTACAGGAGATGTCACTTGCTAGAAATAAAGCCTTAATGTAAAATGAGATTCTGAACATAAAGACACTCTGCCACTGCAAATGACTTAATGAGCTTCTTGAGAAATATATTGCATGTATCAAAGAGATAATTTCAATATAATCTGCATTAATCACGATAAAGGGTGTTAAATTATTTGTATGGGGTGAAACTTCCCTGCTTCCCTCTTATGAACGGTTTCTTTTAAAAATACAGTCAAAATGAAAGGTCTTTCAGAAAAAAAATCTGTTTTCATGTGAAGAATGTACCATAGCTGATATCTTGCTGGAGACAAATTGTGAAGTGTTTTGCAGACCTGTGAGCTGGTAAAGACAGAGGAAAAGTATGCTCTAAAAAAGCATTTTGAGATGCAGGGTGTTAACTTGCAAAATAAGATGCAGGCCAATCTGCGGGTCATAATCAATTTTAGCTCTAAGATCTTTAGTAAAACTTCTTAGGGTTTGATATGCAGACAAGTGGACCAGTAGATTCACTGCCTTTATATTAAACTACTTATTTGCAAATATTGCCAAAGTACAGCCCAGGGAAAATCACTATCCATGTTTACATCATCCCACATGTTTGAGTCATGCCTCAGTTTTTCGAAGACCCGCTTTTCTGCTGTGAGGAAATAAATATGAACATTTAGATTACTGCACTGACTGGAAAGGCAACTGCCTTGCTAGAACAGACCCCCTCAAGACTGGATTTTCTCTATTACTCCAAAATCCAGTTACCCTGAAAGTCTGTGGAGACAGGATGTCTTACAGCAGTTGAGAATCAAGGGTGATGACATGCCTTTGGGTGTTTGTCTGTAGATTCTTTCCTTCTTCAAGGGATGCTGTGCAAGGATTACAAGAGGAGTCAATTTGAAAATTGCTTGCTGGAGGGATCATGAATCCTGGAGGAGCATGGCAATTTGTTTTGCTCAATGCCTTTAGCCACAGCATGCTGCAATCTTCAAAAAGTAAAGCAAGGAGTCCCCAGATGGCCTCCCCACCTGCACAGGGCCATCTCAACCAAGATCCAATCAGTTGTCATTCTAAGAAAGATCACAAGCTGGTTTGGGGACAAGGAAGGTAGAGACCTTCATAACAAAATCTGTTGTTCTGTTGGCTGCTGTCTTTGGATTTCACTTTTTTCTAACTGGGCTGGAAGACCTTTTAGAGCTCCACTTGGCTGACAGAAACAGCAGTAACAGCACCTTCCCTTTCTCATGCTGTTCTTCACCTCTCCTGTCAGTGCAGTCTCCACCTCTAAGAGAGCCCTGCCAGATCTCTGCTGTGATTAGATTGCCCTGCAATGGTCTGGCCAATGACTTTGGGCTGGATCTCTCCATCACTGATACCATCTCAGCTCTTGCCAAACTGGCTTCTGCAGCAAAGGAACAGAAACTGCATAGACAGTATTATTCCTGGCAAAAGGAACAGCATCTCTGTGAAAAAGGACATATATGAAAATCACAAAGGTGCTATTTTAAAACATAAGTTGTGAAACTCTGACAGGATCTGGATGACATGCTTGCAAAGGTACTCTAAGTAATGAAGTACTGAATTTACAACTCCCCAGTGCAGAGACTAATAGCAAATTGAAGGGACCTCTGGAGATCATCTGGTCTAGTTCTGCTCTACAAGTATGGCTCAGGGAAGACTGAATAAAACCATCATGGAAATATTTAAGGTTGAGGTGGGCTATGATTACGAAATTTTCATAGTGTACAACACCCAATTTCAAATTCAGGTTTAAGTGGGACTGTAGGAACAACTTTTGCCCTGGAGCAGCTGCATTACCAAACTTTCATATGCACTCAACAAGCCATACCTGACCTCCTACTGCATAATGTTTGTAAAGTTACTTCATCAATACAAAGCCCTTTATAAAGAATTTATCTGTAGAGGGAGCAGAGACCATCTCTGAATCCCTAGAGAGGCCCCCATGTAAAACGATACCTTAGATAAGAAATTGTTTACTTAGAGTGACTAATACCTAGACCCCTGTGTTATCTTTCTGTAATTTTAGTAGTCCATTTTTCTCTTAGATAATTGGTTCCTTTATAGAATTCTTTTGTTTATTGGTCCAAAATACAAAACGCTTAAACCCTATAAAATCCCCTTAGAATTCCACCCATTGGATTTGCTGGACAGGACCCCTTTGTAGAAGAAATAAAGATTCTATGGAATCTCCTCAACAGCATTTCTTGGTCTCTCTCTGGTGGCTCAAAAGGTACATGCAAGCCTGATTTCACAAAAGAGCAAAAAGCCTGAATCTGGGCAAGGCTTGCAAATGTACCTTGTTGCCAAGAACTTCCTGGGAGCAGGCAGTTTCAGGATCTAACAGAGACTCCCTCAACGACAATATTTATCCTGTGTTATGGGAACAAAACAGTTCTTTGGACAATCTACTTGAGTGATTGCTTAAGTTTCTATGGTAAGTGATGTATTTTAAGGTTGAGGTTTTAAAGTATAAAAAATTTCTATTCTTTTGGTACTTTTGCAGTGTTTTGGACACCCGGTGATTTGCAAAGCAAGTGCAATGCAGATCCTTTGCACCAACAAAAGACAAACACATATAAACTTGTCCAAAAGTACTTACAGCAACATGGTCTCTGTCTGCCTGCATGCAGTGCTTTCAAAAGGGGTTCCTAGCATTCTTCCTACTGCACAACTGCACAACAAAGTTCATTCATTGTTCAGTGCTACCTTTCTTCCTCCCAGCTTTTACAAGCCAAAAAACAAATTAGAATCTGGTTCAGATTGCTTTGAATTAATCTGAATCTAAAACAAAGAGACTGCTCAGAGAAACAGCATTTAGGGAAGCAAATGGGATCTACAAGCTCATGCAGTTTTTGTTGGCTAGTATATATTAAAATGATAAATAGCAGTCAGCACTAAAAGAAAATGCTTTATAAGAGCAGTAACTCAGACTTCCAACAGTTTTAGGCAATTACAACAAAAACTATTAAGAAGATGACTAATATTTACAATTAGTAGGTATAATTGTCATAAGAGAATTTGCAGGGTCCAGTAGTCCATCACAAAAATTTATTTTGTTAATTACAAAAACGTTTCTATACCCTGGACAAGACTCTGTATTTGGTTTAGAAGAAATACTTTGGTATAAAGTCAGAAAATGTTCATCACTGTTGACATCTGGCATTTGGAGTTTAAAGCCTCCTGCTAAAACACTACTGCAAGTTGATATGTATTTCCTTTTTTCAGCATAATAAAATTTCTGCCTTCCAGGTTGTGTAGAAAAATCACTTATCTGATCTAGTTCCCATCCGCAGGAACACAGATCTGCAGAGCATTTTCCAAGCAGTAGAAGGCTGTACTATTTCCTACTACGGCTAGAAGTAGAAAACTTGAAGTATGGAAAAATAATTCCCAAGCCATACAAATTTAATTTTAAAATAAATCTTGAAATAAATACAGCATTCTAAAGCAGAAATACATGATCTGGTTCACACGATACAGATGTGGCTCATTGCTTTTGGTTCACTCTCCACAGGGTCACACTTGACCAGTAAGGTTTTCTCTTTCTTAAGTTTAGAAAGCACTTTCTGAGAAACCTCTTTCTCTGGATGAACAGAAAATGGCCTGTTAATGTACTGCTGCTGGTCCCCCATCCCAGCCCCTTAAAATAAAAGTATTTTTGGTCATTCCAGCTTTATCATGGTTAACACTCAGATGTCCTTCTCAGAGCAGGAGTCTCTGTACTTATAAAAAAATAGTCCTTTTTAGATATATCAAGTTAGATGTAAAAAATAACTCCTAATTATTGGCCCACCAAAAGGTCAATCCTTTAAATAACTATACACATCTTACAAACATTTCAAAGGAAAAGCACATCCATTTGTTAGTGTGAACACCACACTGGTCACATAATACCACACAATGATCATTTTCTCTCTGATGTGACCTTGAATCTCATTAAATATTCAAGTCTTCCCCAGAAGCAAGTGCTGAACAGTCAGAATAATGGAGTACTTAAAATCCTCATTAGAATTAAAACAAAAGTAGGGAGAACAGACCTTTCTCTCTTCTTTTGATGCCATCGTGCTGGAATCTCCATCCTCCTTCAGTCTCATTCCAACTTTTCTGGTTAAAACTTCTTTTCCAAAACACCCTAAAGTCCAATTCAGAAGATTTTAACATCCCTTTCTGGATTCATGTCTTCTTATTGCTCAATTTCTTTCTATGCAGGTGTGTCTCAATCTCTTGCTTGAAAACAAGCATCCCAAGCTGGCCATGAGAAGCCTCATTCATGGCCTTGGACTGCATGCACATTTTGTACTGCTCTGGAGTCAGCTCGTCCAGACACTGCTTTTCATGCCACAAATGGAAGAGACCCCTGACAGGCGTTCGGATCACCATGAGGTTGCTGTGAAGGTACTTGCGGTACAGATGCACATCTTCACCACCCCAGCCTTTAATGTCCAGGTCAAAGCCACCTGACACAAAGAAAATTCAAAATAAAACTAGAAAGCTGTTAGCAAACTTGATGTTATTAATTGCACTGCAGCTGTTTTCTGGTTCCAGTCAGCCCGTTAAAATGCACACACTTGCTGTGAACATCAAACTGCTCATCTTCAATTCTTTCACTATCAGACAAAAGTTCGTTATTTGTAATTTTATTTGTAAGCAGTGCTTAGATTCTGGTAATTCTATGGCACCTAGGAAAAGCCTGAACATCTAACCACAGCAATGCTGCAAATTAGTGACACAGACTTATTGACAAAGGAGGGGGAGGCTGATCATATTTTTCTGTTTTAGCTAAAAGGCAGGTGTACTGGAGTGTATTTTTCTTACCTATGTTGATAAAATCAGATCTGTACTGGCAAGTCATCCCAAAACCAAAGTCTCGCCAAAATCCAGTTTCTTTTTTAATAGTCTGCATGGAGGGAAAAGAATGTTTACATAGAAGCAGAAATGCCTTCAGAGTGAGCATTTTGACTTGAATGTGGTCAGAAATAGGAGCAACTGCCCTGTTTTTCTTCCCCATGTGAATCCACAGCTGGTCCTGACCCCATTTTTGCAGACACTCGTTGGATATATCTGCCCCCTCCTCCCAAACAGCTGTGTTCTTAGCAATCATGGATAACCCTCCCTGATCCAGAATAATCAGGCTTTGATCCACTCCTGTTGTTGTAGACCAAGTAGAACAATATGACACCTCTGGAGTTTACTTCTTTGCAGGCAAAGCATCCTCCAAAATAGTTCATTTATGTGGGATTCACACCTGATGTAAGAAACATACTGGTAAGCCAGGGATGCCAGACTCTGCTGTCATCAGAGTAGATGGTGGCATCTGCACTGAGGAACCACAAGAGCTCTAGAAGAAAACAGTGGTTCTAATTTGATCACACTACCGACAGCTTTTTGATTACATTGATTTTGAGTAACAAGAATAATTTTCCATTATAGAGCTGCTATATCCACCTAAAATTGAACTCCAGGAATGCTGGGTGAAAGATATATGTCCCATAAAAGCCTTTGCAAAAGTGAATGGTCTGCCTTCCCGAGATGGCAATAAAAACATTAGGTATTACAGGTAAAAAATCAGAGCACTGAGAAATCGTGGATATAATTTTGAAAAGCAGATATCCAAGTACAGACCTCTAGGATCATAATTCATGTATGTAAGTGACCTAACCCAATCTAATGAGACATCCAAGAGCTTCAAGGGACTGAGACAGGCATTTAAATCCTCTGAGCAAGTAAACAGTACTTCGTACTCTTGAATTTCTGTTTAGAAATGCTTAGCAGCTGCTTTGGAAAATCTTGACTTCCCTTGTGACAGAATTTCAGAAGATGAGGAAAGAGAATTTCCATTTCTGGGCTTCCAAATCCTAGTATTTCCTTTACGAAGAAATGCTCTTACAAAATTTTCTCTCCTGATTTCTTGTTCATGCCTCCCTTTTTTGTTCATAACTCTTGTCACTTCAAATACTTTAAATTTTTTTATTATTATTATTTTACTGCTCACATTGCTATACACTTCATCATTTCTTCTTTCCTTGAAAAAGACAGGTCACTGCAGAAACCAATTAAAAGGAAACAAGATTGTATCGTCAGGCCTGCACTGTAACAAGAAATCTCCATCACAGAAACACAGAGAATCACACACAGAATGACTGGGTTGGAAGAGACCTCCAAGATCATCATGATGCCCTTACAGCAAGCTACTCATGTGCGTTAGCATTATTCCCATTAGGGTAAGTGGCTGCTGCACAAATCAAATTCTATCAAAGATTTCTGAAGGCTTGTTTTTTAATCCTCAGCAGCCCAAGTTCCAAGAACTAACACTGTCTTGTTTTATTGGCATGGATCTGGCCTTATGCCTGGTTACTAATGTGGGCTAAAAATATACATTAAATGTGATTTGCTGTACTTCTTTAAATCAAATAAGCATCACATTTTATGATTCAAATATTAGCTATAAATATTTTCACAATCCTGACAATGTACTTTGTGGAATTTATGCTAGCTTGAAAGCTAAACTTTATTTCATTCTCTAAGCACAATTCTTACAAGTTTGAGGATCCCTGACAGGATCTGAGCAGAGATAGAAAAGCTTATGTGAATCCCATGGCATGAGAAACAAAACAGTACAAGGGATTTCCCAGACTCTTCGGTAAAAGGCTTTCTGGCTGTATGTTTCATAACAAAGAGAGCAGTAGACAAAAAAATACTTTAAAATACTTTGGATGGACTTTTCAAACTCTCACTCTTCATTTTTATAGAGAAACTGTACAAAGTGCAGTGATCACAGAAGACTGGACTCAGACCCCAAGTGATCTTTTTCAACTGTGACTCTCCCTGGGCTCACACCACCCCTAATTCCTACCTACCCAGAACAACAATAGAGGCTGGGATGCTCTGGGGACAGTGTCCAGTGTGGTATAGAATGAGCCTTAATAAGTGCTGTGCCTGGCAGTAAGAGCAGCAGATGTGGCAGGCATAGAGGAACTGAATGAAGCTGCATAGCTGGCTTATGTTTCAATTTGAAAATTCAGCCACTTAGCAGCACTAGTGGACAGAGGACTGTGACCCAATGACTCTGGAGAGAAGCAAGACTCCCTTCTATCAGGCCTTTAGGTTCAAAATAGTGCAACACCAGAGCACAAGAGAATGGAGAACAGTATCTAGAGCAGTGCCAAGCAATGTCTTGGTCACTAACATTTATATGAACCTCTAATCCGTGTGCTCTTTCTTCCTCACAACAGCTCCCTCCTCATCCAGAAAACTCATACATGTATTAATCATATGCCTTATCAAGAATAAGCAGGTGAGATGAATATCGGTGGAGTTGTGCTGTGTTGTACCAGTGCCAGGATAAAATGACAGCTCTGAACATGTGATTTTACTCAGACATTTCAGAAACACACTGCTTGCAGACAGTTCAGTCATGAACTGTAGGATGGGAAAGGCCACTGTAAGGTGTTCAATTTAGTGGGTGAATAACTGTGACAGCCCCTGGAATTCTCTTTTTACTGAGTGATCTAAGGACAGCTGTGCTTTTTACAAATCATGTCTTCAAATGCAAATAATATTCCATGATAGGAAGAAATTAGAGCAAGTCAAGGATTGTCACCCAAGATAGCACACCATGGAGGAATTGCTCACTAATTAGGAAATTCCTTCTAGAAGAGAATCAGACATTTTAGAAATTCTTCGTTTCCATGTAAAAAGCTTCAAAAAGGTTTAAAGTAAATGGCACCAATATACTTCCCAGTGAAACATACCTGCAGAACTCACAGTAAGGTGAGTATTGTAGTTAGTTTTGTCTGTGTGGTGGTTACTGTACACAAGGAATAGGGAAATGCTATCCAAGAGTACATCTACCTTCAAAAAATGCTTTGTTCAAAAAAAAGCAGGCATTCAGAGAACTATGTACTTACGAGCTGCTGTTCTAAAGATGGGATGGAATCATGGTGACCATAAATTATACTGGGGTTATACTGGCTGAAGAGAACAGGATAAAATACCTTCTTCCCTGGAAATGACAATGAGTTATTTTTTTTTAACTATATAGAACACACTTGTCTCTTACAAGGTACAGTCAAGGCCTGACCAAATCCAGACAAAGTCACACAAGTTTTGCACTGAGCCTATGTTCTTTCCACAAGAATGTGAATGTGAGTATATAATTAATAAAAAGATCCTGTTCCAGAAAGTACAGGTGCTGAAGGCAAGAGATTCTATCACACTGGGAGCAGAGCAGAAACTGTTACAACTGATTTACAGTAGCTTCATTACCAATTCAAAGGCAAGAATACTCTGGTGAGGGATTTTACATAATAGGTAGAACCTATTGAAAGACAATGTACTTCATGAAAAGCAGTACCTGGTTGTGCATTCAATCTACAGGAGTTCAAGAATTCGGCTGTGAAGTATATGTCCACATCACAAAAAAAGAGAAGAACATTGTTTCCTTTCCAAAATCGAGCACCAACATCTAATCCTTTGCCCCTGGAAAACTCTTCATTCAACTGGATGAAGGTAAAGTTCTTGAAGTTGGCTGACCTAGAAGGAAAATATTCAGCAACTTACCCTGTCCATACAGCTCTTAATACAAGTTGGGAGTGGGAACCCCATATGAAAGAATTAATGTAGAAATCTATAGTTTCACAGTTCTGAGAGCAGCTGAAAGGAAGAGATGTCCTGTTTGACTCCTGAGGAGATTTTCACTATGTCTATCTATGTTCAGAGCTTGACCTGTGTACTCACACACTAGCACTCCTGTCACAGACTTTCTTCGGGCAGATCTCACAAAAATCCCAACAAGGTTTAGATTAACATAAATATCTTCAGTATGCAAATTTCAATTACCTGTGGTTACATTACTGTGTCTATACAAGGGTCTTCCTAGACGGAGAAGACAAGCAAAAGGCTGCAGTGCCACATGATCTTGACAAACACAGCTGTGTAACCAAACTCAAAGAGCAGAACTGGCCAAAAGTATCCAGTTCCTTTGTGCTCTACTGAAATTGCCTTCCACCTGCCTTTGGAAGTCAGCCTTGAGTCCTAACAGTTATAGCCACTTTCAAAGAACTAAAGCATTACCAGTCGGGGGAAGGTAAAAAAAAAGCAGTTGCACTGAGGTAAATCGAGTTTAAATATGCTTTGCAGTTCTAAAGACCACTCTGTGAGACTCTCTGGGTAACACCATTTTTATTTGATACAAAAAGAAAGCTATTTTCTGCGATGCACTTTAGAATCTTTTGGCACAACTATGAGTTTTGAGCTGTCAAGTCTCCATGCAGGATGGCCGTATACGAACAGCATGCACCAGATGTTCAGGTACTTACTTAGAGGTATTTTCAAGTATTGATTTGACTTCATTCATTTGTTCCTTTCCAAAGTAAACTACAGTAAGGTGAATTCTCCCATCCTGCTGAATGCCGATTTCCCTGGAGAGAAGAGACAGATTTGTGACTTGTTCCGGAAGACAGCTTCCTTCAATAACCTACTGCAGCTGGGGAAGGCAGAGTAGGGTGAACCTCAGAGGCATTCGTGGTGACATGATTCACTGACAGACAATCTTCTCCTGACAAAGTGGCTCATTTTCTCCCTTAGAAGAAACAGAAGTCTATCTTTCAGGCAGATTAGGTACAGGCTCTATAAGCAGCATTTGTTATATTAATAAGACACTGTTAAAAGAGGCCATCCAGCCCCAGGAAGAATGATCAGGCAGGCAGTAATTTCAGCACTCAGGAGAATATGAGAAGGGGGATTTTTATAATACCCTATCTCATAACCTTGAGTTTCTGTAACAGATATTCCAGAGTTCAGATCTTTGGCATTTACTAAAACCTAAGTATTAAGCAGGGCTCAAATGCATAGCTCAAGGGTAAGACCAGTCTGAACAAGTGCTAGAACCATGCCTCACTTGCACTAAGTTTAGTTAGCAAGAGTTCATCTATAATCAGCAGAGAGATCAGTATAACCAGAGGGCGATTTCTCCTAGTCTAAAACAGGATAATCAAAACACTAATCAGAAGGCTAATTTAGATAAGGAGCCTATTTTTAGATGGCTGTAATTAGACAAAACATCCCATGGTAAGAGTCAATATCTTTTGATAACAGAGTCTTTTCTCAGCAGCTATTTAAAGTTACATCCCAGTTAAGTTCTCCCTCTGAACATCGTGTTTGTGCTGAAAAATAATAGTTGAAGAGTAACTATGCTGAGAGTTCAAATACATTTCCTTCTTGCCTTTTGTTGCCTTAATGTTTTATTTAATGGGACCTAGCAAAGTGTATGGGAGCACTGATTCCCCTTTTCCTCAGAAATGCTCCTTTGCAACTACTGCATGAAATTCTCATGTTGCCACAATTGTATGTGCCCAACAAACAGATTGAGACTCTTAAGTCACGTACACACAAATCAGAACCCCTGATACCAGAATATAATTGCCTTTACTGCTAATGACAATGCATTAAGCAACCAAACGCCTTTCAGTCTGTAATCTCAAAAATCACTTAGTGGCACAATGAACTGTTGTGTAAAAGTAGCAGTGAGTGAGGTCTTGATAACTCCTTTAATTGCATCTTACTTTCCAAGTACAAAAAAGTAAAGACAGCATTGAAGGAAACCCACCTGAAATTCTGCATGAATTGCCGAAATTTGCTGGCTCTTTTGGCCAGTGGCACAATGACATTAATAAGTGTGTCAGCCATATTGACATTTTCGTTTTTCACTTTCATTACAGGACCAAATGGCCGGAATAAAACAATCTTCTTGAACTGATGTTTTGCATCTCCTTTGAAAGTCAGCTCATACAATGTGCCTTTGTTTTTTTCTGTGCGGTAGATCCCTGCATGAAAACAAAAATGAAGAGATTTTTGGATTTAAGTTGGGCTCCTGGGGGGGGGGGGGGGGGGGGGAAAGGAGAAAGTCTTAAGTTGCTACACCTAAGCAGAAAACATAGCAGAAGCAATGGAATATTTACTTTTAAACCAATACACAGTCCACCGTTGTTCAAGGGGGCCATCACTGTATCAGGGACAAAGCCCTGGGTTGCAGGAGCTGTTTGGTATTCTTGCAGGCACATTCCAAGGCTTGGCTGAGTTACAAAGCCCTGAAGGTTACCAACTGCTCACTCTCAGTATAATCCAGCAGACATACTGTCTACTTTTCATACTGCTCCAATTGCACACTACAGACATGCATAGTAATGGGATGCAGAGAGACTGCAAAGGCAGTCTGCCTCTCTGCAACAGAAGAGATTAGGCCATGTCCCAGAAAGGCAATTTCCCGATGAGCACTGGGAGGTTCTCTGGAAAGTCCCCTAATAAAACTATGCAACCAGGCCCCAGCCATCAACTTCACCCACTGCCAGTCAGGACAAAACTCTCCTGTTACTCAACTCTCAAGAGACTGCTATTTTCTTTACGAATACCCACTTCTGGTAAAGTAATGGTCTGCAAGGATGACACTACAGTTTGTCAGAGGCTAGACCACGACACTTAATTCATACATTCAGGTATTTATTTTCTATATGGAAGGAACTTTTAGCATATTTGATGGGTGAAATTGGACTCCTTCACGCTGAGGGCCAGCATGAACTATAAAAGTCCTGATCATGTCACACTGAAATACTATAAAATCCTAAATGAAATCAAGTTGGCAAAAAGGCTACAGATTTTACCCACTCTAAATGTTACTTCAGTTACTACAGTGTATACTGAAATAAAGCTTTTTCACTGGCAAATCCATTATGCTTAAGAAAGAAAAATTAATGCTAATTCTAACTATTAATTATGCCACTGAAAACATCTTAACAACTTAATCAGTAAGAGTATAGTTGCAATGCATTCCATCTCTTGCAGAAGTTAAAGAGGCAAGCACAAATGTCTTGAAAAAACTCCTCCTCTTAACTTCTCTTTTCCTTTTTCTTTTCTTTTCTTTTCTTTTCTTTTCTTTTCTTTTCTTTTCTTTTCTTTTCTTTTCTTTTCTTTTCTTTTCTTTTCTTTTCTTTT